ACTTTTATCTTCCCTGCCAGATAGTTGGAATGCTACAGTCACAGCTGTGAGTAGCTCATCGGGAAATAACAAGTTGAAGTTTGATGACGTTCGTGATCTGGTTCTTAGTGAGGAGATTCGACGAAGAGAATCAGGTGAATCTTCATCCTCTTCAGTATTGCATACAGAGTCAAGAGGAAGAAATTTAATCAGAAGCAATGAACGCGGAAGATCAAACTATCGAGGACAATCCAGAGATAAGAGGTCAAAATCCAGGAATCCAAATAATTTCCAAAACTCAAAGACTGTGGAGTGTTGGAATTGTGGAAAGATTGGGCACTATAAAAATCAGTGCAAGGGAACACCAAAAGACAAAGAAGTGAAGGCAGAGGCAAATGTCACTTCTACCGGAGAAGGTGATGATGCGTTGATATGCTCATTGGAGAGCAAAGAAGAGTCTTGGGTATTAGACTCTGGAGCATCGTTCCATGCTACTTCTAATAAAAACTTTTTTGAGAAGTATGTCCATAGAAACCTTGGACAGGTATACCTTGGTGATGACCAACCTTGTTATATTGTTGGTCAAGGTAATGTCAAAATTAAGTTAAATGGGTCAGCTTGGGAGCTGAAGGATGTCAAACATGTTCCCGACCTAAGAAAGAACTTGATCTCAGTTGGGCAGTTGGCTCGTGAAGGTTACACTATAATCTTTCAAGGTGATAATTGGAATATTTCAAAGGGAGCAATGATAGTTGCTCATGGTAAAAAGAATGGTACTCTCTATTTGACAGCTGGAGCGTGTTATTCGATTGCAGTTGCAACAGAGAATGAAAATTCTAAGTTATGGCACCAAAGACTTGGTCACATGAGTGAGAAAGGAATGAAGATCATGCATTCAATTGGAAAACTCCCTAGTCTAAAATCTGTGAATTTAGACATGTGTGAAGAATGCATACTTGGAAAACAGAAGAGGGTAAGCTTTCAGACATATGGAAGAACTCCAATGAAAGAAAAATTAGAGCTTGTTCATTCTGATGTGTGGGGACCAACAACCACCCAGTCTATAGGTGGAAAACAGTACTTTGTGACTTTTATTGATGATCACTCTAGGAAAGTATGGGTTTACTTTCTAAAATACAAGTCCGAAGTGTTTGAAGTTTTCAGGATATGGAAAGCTAGGGTTGAAAATGAAACAGGTCTGAAGATCAAAAGATTCAGGTCCGACAATGGCGGAGAATATGAGGACACCAAATTCAAGAAGTTTTGCTACGAGCATGGTATTAAGATGGAAAGAACTGTGCCAGGTACGCCTCAGCATAATGGCATAGCTGAGCGGATGAACCGAACATTGACAGAAAGAGCCAGAAGCATTCGTATACAGTCAGGTCTACAAAACAATTCTGGGCAGAAGCAGTCAATACAGCAGCTTACTTGATCAATCGAGGACCATCAACCCCATTGGAGTACAAATTACCAGAGGAGGTATGGAGCGGCAAAGAGATCAAATTGTCGCACTTAAAGGTATTTGGTTGTGTAGCTTATGTGCACATTAGTGATTAAGGCAGAAATAAGCTTGATCCTAAATCAAAAGTTTGCACTTTTATCGGTTATGGCGAAGATGAGTTCGGATACCGCATTTGGGATGATGAAAGCAAAAAGATTATTCGTTCAAGAGATGTAATTTTCAATGAGAGAGTCATGTACAAAGATAAGCATAAAATTGAGAGTTATGAAACAAATCAAAAAGAATCTACATTCATTGATGAAGATTATGTCCCAGACAGTACGATGCAAGAGTACACTATCATAAGTACTCCGCAACAAGAAGAACAGACTGTACAGGGCAGTACATCGCAATCAAATGACATACAACAACCTTCTTGTCCAACTCCTACACTAAGAAGGAGTACTCGACCACATGTGCCTAATAGAAAATATATTAATTATTTGTTATTAACTGATGATGGGGAACCAGAAGATTATTATGAAGCATCCCAGACTAGATATGCTAGCAAGTGGGGGCTTGCAATGAAAGATGAAATGCAATCCCTGATTTCAAACCAGACATGGGAACTAACTGAGTTACCCATAGGTAAGAAGGCCCTTCATAACAAATGGATATATCGAGCAAAAAAGGAGCATGATGATTCCAAGAGGTATAAGGCTCGACTAGTTGTCAAAGGTTTTCAACAGAAAGAAGGAGTTGATTATAATGAGATATTCGCTCCTTTTGTGAAACTCAATACCATTAGAACAGTGTTGAGTATTGTTGCAATTGAAGATCTTTATCTCGAGCAGTTAGATGTGAAGACTGCATTTCTTCATGGAGATCTTGATGAAGAAATATACATGCACCAGCCAGAAGGTTTTATAAAAAGTGGGAAAGAGCAGATGGTATGCAAACTTAAGAAATGTTTATACGGGCTAAAACAAGCCCCAAGACAATGGTACAAAAAGTTTGATAACTTCATGCACAAGGAAGATTTCCAGAAGTGCAACGCTGACCACTGTTGGTACTTCAAGAGATATCAATCCAGTTATATCATCCTATTACTTTATGTTGATGATATGTTAATAGCAGGTTCTGATATGAATGATATTATAAAGTTGAAGCATCAATTGTCAAAGGAATTTGACATGAAGGACTTGGGTCCAGCAAAGAAGATTTTAGGAATGCAAATCACAAGAGATAAGCAGAGAGGCACTTTGCAGTTATCACAATCAGAGTACATCAAACGTGTTCTTCAGAGATTTAATATGGGTGATGCTAAGCTTGTTAGTACACCGTTGGCGAGTCATTTTCGTCTATCAAAGGATCAGTTCCCTCAGACAGATGAAGATAAAGAATATATGGCCAAGGTTCCTTATGCCTTGGCTATTGGAAGTTTGATGTATGCAATGGTTTGTACAAGACCAGATATTGGACATGCAGTGGGAGTTGTAAGCAGGTTTATGTCCAATCCAGGAAAAGTCCATTGGGAAGCTGTTAAATGGATTTTGAGGTATTTACGAGGTACAATTAATAAGTGTTTGTACTTTGGTAAAGGTGAAATGAAAATACAAGGTTACGTTGATGCACTTTGGCGGTGAAGTCGATAATAGAAAGAGCACAACGGGTTATGTATTTACAGTTGGAAATACAGCCGTAAGTTGGATGTCCCAACTACAAAAGATTGTTGCTTTATCCACTACAGAAGCTGAGTATGTGGCAGTGACCGAAACTAGTAAAGAGATGATATGGCTTCAAGGTTTGTTAGATGAGCTGGGGTTCAAACAAGTGAATAATATTTTGTATAGCGATAGTCAGAGTGCTATACATTTAGCAAAGAATTCGGCATTTCACTCAAGAACAAAGCACATCGGTATTCGTTATCACTTTATCAGGTCTCTTCTAGAAGATGAAGTGTTAACTCTTAAAAAGATTCTTGGCAGTAAGAATCCAGCAGACATGTTAACGAAAACAGTGACGATTGACAAGTTGAAATTGTGCTCAACATCAATTGGTCTTAAAATGACAGAAGACTAGTTGAGGTTCTACTCCTTGGTGTGAAGACAGATTGAAATCAGTCTTCAAGTGGGAGATTGTTGGTAGATAATTAAGAAACATAAAGAAAAAAAATAAATGGTTATTAAATAACCATGCATTACCATTGAAAATTAAAGGTGTTTCCAAATATAGGGAAAAATAACTAATGGTAATAAATATTGCAGGCTAAATTTTAAATGGCTTAGGTTGTTTTAGGAAAACTATAAATTGAGCATTTCCTTCATTTGTATGTAATAATTTCAAGAGAAAATCTGAGAGAAGAAAAATAACTCAGAGAAAAGAGGGGTTGTGTTTTTGCACTTTGGTATAAATAGACATTTTGTTTATGTAATTTATTTCTCCCTCAAATTTGATTAAATAGAAAATTTGCATTATTTTTTTCTTAACAGTCGATTCATTGGGGCAAAGAAAATTGCTCGTTTAGATGCTAAAAGTCTAGAGCAAGCACATCGCTACGTTTTACTTCATTCTGATGAGATGGCTGAATTTCGTGAGTAAGTATTAAGTTAAGTTTCTTAATATATTTTTCTGTCTTTTATTTGTATGGTTGTTGTTTCTATAATTCAAGTGTTTTGATATTTTACAGTGAGTTCTTACGCCAGAAGCGACGTGAGAATCGATTTAGAGGAGTACGAAGTGACACAATAATAGAGTATGATTGGATTATAAAAGATTTCTCTGATTGTCTTAGAGCCCAGGTTGTTATATATAGACTTCTGTTAAAATGAGACATTATTCAATAATTTTTTTGCTTACTTTATTAGTTATTTTGTCATTTCAGGTACGTAACATAGATAGCAGTAATGAGCAAAGGAAGCTAAGGAAAGCTTTAGCAAGTGGTTTATATGATCGTACTACAGAGTATAAAGGCTTTGTAATCAATGGCTACAAGTTTCTGACTGTAGACCATGAACGCTACCGCAGGACACAAAATTCAGGAGTTATGGTTGAGGCAGATGGCCAGTTTTACTATGGAAAAGTCAGGAAAATATATGAATTAAGTTATAATGGGACTTATAAGGTTGTGGTGTTTCGGTGTGATGGGGCAGACATTAGTAAGGGATTGAAGAAATATAAGAATGGGGGTATTTCTGTCAACTTTTCAAAGTTGATGCATAGTGGACGATTAATGAAAGATGATCCTTTTATTTTTTTCATCTCAAGCGAAACAGGTTTTTTATGTTGAAGATGAGATAGAAAAAGGGTGGTTACATGTTATAGAATCTAAGCCTAGGGAGGTTTTTGAAATGGGTGATGAATAATTGATGTGTAACTTCTGTTTCCATTTTGAATGTTGGTATTACATGCATGAACTGAAATTTCAGATTTAATTTACCATTTTATTTTGAGTTTTGTTTATTATTAGACAAGTTTATTTGCTATGTGTAGCTTGAAACTTTTTTTTTTCATGAAAATTAACAAGTTTATGTGTAGCAGCTGAATATGTTTCGTAACAAAAGAATCAGGAGCAATTATGGTAATGATCAAGGTCAGAGAACAGGTCAAGGAGCAGGGAACAGGTCAGGGAACAAGTCAAGGAACAGGACAGGGAACAAATCAAGGAATAGGTCAGGGAACAAGTGTTGCTTATACTGTCACTTCTGATGGGCTTAATAATTCCAATGCATCTCAAATGAATTTTGGTGAAAACTCTTCCAATGACAATGGGAATGAAGCGTGTAGAAATGGTGGAGGTTCAAGAAGGAATGCCAAAAGAAAGAAGCGCTCCATTCCTGTAAATGGGAGCTCTTCTACTAACGAAGCCCATGATTGGAGTGATGATGTTAACTTTGATGAAAGAGAGGATGTTCGTGCTATTGGTAAGATACCTTACACGAGTCTTTGCTCTGTATGTGTAACATGTAGTTCTCTATTCTGAACTGTGGTGGTGTTTGTGTTGTATATTTGGCTGAAATATGAGTTAAGCTAACAACCATGGCATTAAGACCAACTTTATTATAGTAGTTTATAAATACTTTATTCAAACAACTTATTTATATATGTATTATTCTTATATGCTTGAGTTGTAGATTCTGAAGGAAATGTGCAGTTATGGAGTGGTTCTATACAGCCACATGATGTGTGGTTTCTTGAAAAAGGAGTCAGATTTGAAGTTACATTCAACGGATTTTGCCAACCAATTAGAAAGGGTGGATCAATTCTTGTGAAATTCATTTCAAGTATCGCAAAGAAAGATGATATTTGTCCTATAAGAGATGTAAATTGGCGAAATGTGAATAAAACAATACTAGGCCAGGAAGAATTGTTCGTGAGAATTGGCTTCCGTTGGTCGAATATTGGTTTTCAAATAAGAGCAAGGTACTATGTTATAATCTCTGTTTTACATTTTTCTTTCCGATTTAAAGTCATTTTGTTAATTTAATGGAATGGTTGTTGATTTAATGAAATGAACTTACTTTTTTTATGATAATGTTAGAATTATTCTGAAATTGGAAGAGAAGCACGTGCTTCTTTGGGACATCTACATACTAATGGTGCTACGAGCTTTGCTAATTCAAGAGACGAATTTGTATGACCGATGCATTTGCTGACACTATATTCATAAATATTTATCTGTTCTTATGATTTTAAAATATATTAATTGAATGATGAATTCTCTTATGAAGGAGATTGAGCATGGAAGAGAGCCCGGTGGTTATGAGTTTTTTGATAGAACTCATCAACCAAAGAATGGATGCTATCCTAACAACACAAATACTGGAGAATTCATTGTATTATTTCCTAACTTATTTCATATTTCATTTTAATTACCTGCCAACCTTGTAATTATACACTTTACATGTGTGTGACTATATACTTCCATGCAGGACATGGCAAAAAAAAAAAGGATTGATTCAAGTGCTGCAAATTCATCAACTCCGAAGCCTCAAGAAGTGATAGAGAACGAAGTCTTCAATGATTTGATGTACGATAAGGATAAAAAAAAAACCAAAGACCATTGGGTTATGGATTTGGGATGAATCATAAAGACGTGTTTGGAGTTCATGCATTATTGCGAAAAAAAAGGGGCACTTCTTATAACAGTAGCAATGACCAGATTATGAAAGCTGATTTTGCAAGGTATAAGAGGCATACCACAGACCTCTTATTGAGACTGACAACACAGATGACTAACGTGTTGGATGCAGTGCGAAGCGGTAATGTCTCTAATGAAATGTTATATGCTACTTCAACAGCATTACGCTCCATACATGCTCAGGTCAGCATCCCTTTTTGTAAAAATATGTAACATTTTTTTGTTTATAAATTATATATATACAGTGGTAAGGTGTACATGGATTAAAGTGCACCTTTAAAATAGTAAACTGTAGGTTTTTTTTGTTATGGAATAGGAATCTCATATTTACTTTTTGTATTATATGGCTCATATAAATTGCACAACATATTAATTGATGTCATTTTTTTCACAGAATATGGAAGAATCAAATGCAGATGATGATGAAGATGAAGACGAGGATGAAGATGACTTGGATCTTTCTACTTGATTGGGCATGGAAAAATAGCACATATATTTTGCTCATTGAATATGGGAAACAATACAACATACATTATGGAATAGGAATCCGTTTTTTTTTTTTTTTGGTTGACCATTGTTACAAATGGAGATCGACAGTGAACTTAATTTCTTGTTTAGACTTTTAGCATTGTCGGCAATTATGATTATGTTATTTTGATGATGAACGAATTTTAAGTTTATGTATGGATTGTCGGAGATTGTGGTTTTGTTATTTATAGAATGAGATATGTAGTACTACTTTTCTTATTGTTTAACTGTTACTTATTTATTATATTATGTGAGTGCAAATAGAATTTATTTTTGATAACTAGTAGGATACATATGGTCCTATAAATTATTTCATATAAGGCGACGCTTGAAAGAGTTGAAATAGATATAAGATATGAGAAAATCTCGACACCTTGATGTGTCCATTAATTCCTGTAATAAATCACCAAAATTAATCTCGACGCTTTTTAGTGTCTAATATTTCCCGCTTTTTTTAAAAAACAGGTATTTCCGACACTTTAGAATGTCAAAAATGTAATGCGGGAAAAAATAAATTTATTCCTCTCAAAAATAATGACACTTTAAAGTGTCAGAATGTAAAGTATAGATGCTTTAAATGTCGATATTAATGACCAACAAAGTGCCGGAAATTTCCGACATGCGAAATTCCGACACTTTACAAAGTGTCGGTAGTTACTTTACCGACGCTTTGAAGCATTGAGAAAACACGGAAAATGTGTAGAAAAGGATAGGGTATTCTAGTAGTGATGCCGTATGACTTCTATTAATGAAATTTAGTGTCCTTTAGGATTTTTTTCAAAAAAAAAAAGAATAATATGTACGAAATACAAGTATTATATCACAGCTTTTTTTTTTCTTCTTATATTCTTGTATGTATAGATCTAGGTTTGAATGTACATTATTGTAACATTTTATTTTATTTGCTAGTTTGTCCTTATATAATACTCTTATGAAGAGCACATACTTGTGTACTGTACTACTGTATAATACTACGGATTAATATACAATTGCATTTGTTATGTGTATTACAAGCAATTTTAATTTGTGTAACATAATATAAAGTAGTATTATCCTAATATGTTGGTGGAGATAGATTTTGTAGATGGACATGTAGGAAGCAAGAGTACGTGAAAGACTAGGGCTGACAAAGTGAGTTTGATTTTTTTAATTGATTGATGATTGAATTACGTAATACATGACGCATACACAGATACACAAATACAGTACGTAGTAAGAAAAAACATAAAATTATGAAAAGGTAACTAGCTTTTTAAGATCAAAGATTCAAAGCTAAGTTTTATTTTCCTCTTTTTGATTATGATCAACTTGCTTTAGCACTTATATAATGTATTTCTTGTTTTTATAGATATTTTTAAGGAAGCTCTCTTTATGAGAGAAGTAAGAATAAAATTTAGACTTCTTGTAATAATTACCATATATTTTTTTTCTTTTCTTTATAGAATTAGCAATTGCATGTATACTACAGTTGATATCTACTCCGTATGCATTACATATAACTTATCTAAAGGAATTAAACTAATATAAAAATCTGTTGTTGGTAAATATCATATTGATTGCAATATAATAAGAATAATTTAACCAAATAAGCTAGCTAGTAGAGTATGTAAATCAGCATCGATCCATGCACTGCAATGGCTATTGACTTGCATGCATAAGATTGATCAATAATGTTACTCGAAGTACATAACATGAAATTAAACACACCACCATTATTAATTCAATAATATACCCTCCATTTTTTTAAGTCCATACATTTTTTAAAACTCTTTTTTTAAGGGTAATGTACTATTATATGTAGTTCTTAGGGCTAAGAATAAGCATTTAATATTTTTCCAAAGATTTCACCAAAACAAAAAATATTTTTCCAAAGTTTGATTACTTTAGAAATGCATGACAAAATCAGTGTAATTAATATTATATTTTCAATAGTTTTTTCCCATTTTTAGCTCCTTATGTGTACTCTTAAGGCTATGTATAGCATTTTCATTTTTTAAATACATCACTTTTCTTTTACTCGTATGACTGTCATTTTTAAGTGCATCACTTTCTATTTTAAACATCATTATTTTTGTTATTGTTGTTATTTCTCCATCGATCCTCACATGATCTCAAGTTCTCAACTCTTACTTTTTTTTCCTCGATTACCCCACTATCTCTATTCTATGGTCAACTTGTAGGCTCTCTCAATCTGCAAAATTGGTTCTGATTAATACGGTCTTAATGGGAATTACTTCCCATGTAATGAAATCTCTAAAATTGCCTCTAGCAATTGCAAACAAGCTTGATTCAATTATTACAAGGTTTTGGTGGGCAACGAGCGGGGAAAAAGGTATTCACTGGACAAAGCGACAAATCATTCAATTATCAAAGGGAATGGGTGGACTAGGAATTAGAGCTACTAATTTGGTCAATGATACCCTCTTATTCAAGAATGTTTTAAGGATGCAAAAAAATCCACAACTTCTAGCTGCTAAGATCTTTGATGCAAAGGTAAAATGTACTCTTTGTCATGGTATTCCCAGAAATCAATTGCTCCCCAATATTTCTTACGCTCGCAGGGGTTTTCAACAAGTCGCGTCTGATTTTATACCGGCCTTTGCATGGAAGATTGGGAATGGAGGTAATATTCCGTGCAATGTTTGGAAGATTTCAACAAACCAAGTCTGACAACTTTAGGTGCGCTGCACATTCCAGACATGGGTATGCATGAACCACCGGGTTTTTGCCAGGTACATATTGGACAGGAAAAATATATTTTTTGTCCAAGTCAGGGGCAACCGGATTGTATTCTACAGATTGACGGATCCTTTGAAAAGAATAGTGGAAGAAGTGGTTTTGGATGGGCAATGAAACTTACTGATGGGGACTTCTTGGATGCGGGTGCAAGCTTCGGTTTAACAACCTCAGCCTTGCATTCGGAGGCACAGGCGTGTCTTGAAGCTCTAAAATGGTGTACAACTATGGGATTCTCCAAGGTTCTTCTCTACTCGGATTCAATGAATATGATCAATCTCTTACGAAAGAAGGAAGTAGACAACCTAAACGTTTACTGGACCATACGGGAAATACAACATTTAGGGCTGAGGTTTAAGTGTTGCAACATCCTAAAGGTGGACCGAGACAAGGTTCAACGGGAGCATATCCTAGCCAACAATAGTCGAACTAGTCTAATTAGCTTTTATTTTAGTTTGTTATTTGTTTTAAATTAAGCTGATGTCAAAAAAAAAAAATTAACTCCTCAACAAACTCCTACTGTCCTACATACACAATATTTTACTCTATTTAACTCATCTTCCTAAAAAAAATAATAAAAATAAATAAATAAATAATAAAAAAAACTAGAGAGTATAATACGCCTGTCAGATCAAACATGCCGTTAGAGAATTTCTTGGTCGAATGACATTTCCTTGGTGTTTCCATTCAGCCAATGCTGGGCTGTTTCTTCTACCCGTTTCATGCTACAACTAATTACCTACGGTTTGCATGTGATAATAAATAAAGAGTAAAGATTTAATTCCTATGACTAAAAAAATATTATAGTCAATGTTAACTTACATTAATTACGAAATGCATATCCATACGAAATGGTACGGTAAGGCCAAGATTAATTAAACCTTAACCACTAACTACTACCACCAATAATAATTCAACACCGAGTTGACTAGTAGAATGGTCGCCTTGTGAAGACTTCTAGCCTGATTATTCTACAACTGGAAAATTTCCCAACATTTCCTTCTGATTTTTTATTGGTAGATTTAGCAACTTAACATTTTTATTTTAATTTCTTGGTGGACAAGTTAATTTACAATCAATGAATTAAAGTACTTTCCAATATACAATTAGTAGCGCTTGGTACAACCAAGATTATTTTTCTTTTCCTTCAAAAAAAAAAAAAAAGGATTACTTTTCTTTACTTATGTGCATGTATCTTGTAAGTACACGTGGATAATAAAGTAGCTTTAATTTGACACTTCTAGTTTTACGGTGAATATTTTGGTGAATTAATATGTGAATATTTGGAATAATAAGTTGTTTAATCTTGTGTAGAGTAGGTTAGGTTAGGAATTATAATTAGGTATAAGTGTATAACCCTAGCATGCATAGAAGTGTTAATTACGGTCAAAATAAAAGGAAACCTTAATTAGCAAGTTCCAACTCCAAGCTGCAACAAATAAGAAGAGGCCGTGTGGCAGGTACTAAGTAGATAGGTCAATCAACCTAGAAAATTACATGCATTGCTAGTGTAATTGCATGTACATTTCTGTCTTCCCCTATCTACTTCTCTATATAAATTACAAATCTCCACCTCATTTTCTCCATCCCTCATCAAACCACATCTCTTGCACCATTCTTAAATAACTCGATCCAAACCCGAACTCTTTATTGATTAGACTAATCCAAATATATATTTCGATCACTATATTATTTTGAAAACATTTTGCTACAATGGCAGAAAAAGAGATCCAGAGAAAAAAAGAAGAAATCCTAAAACTCATGGGCTTCCCCCTCCACAACATGCATTTTCATGACCTTGATGATCGAGCCGTGGTGTTTGAAATAATGAACACCACCGCGAAAAGTAACCTTATTCCACGGGTCATGAAGACAACCATCATGGTGTATCCCATCACAATGTTTAATGCTGATCTATCGATGCAATTTCAAAACGAAAGGCGTCATAGCAATAATAATTCTCGGGGTTTTTTCAATAATAACGCAAGAAGTACAGCGAATAATAATAATAATAATGCTCTTGCTGGTGTACGTGCCGCCATTGCCAACCAAAATCAAGGTATAGATGACAATATTTCACGTACAATACGAATAAAACATGGGAATATTTCAATATATACAACAAACATGCAATTCAATCTTAGGTTAATTACAATTTTAACATCTTACTTCGTACCATACAAGTATATACTTAATTATATTGATTTTTTTTTTTTTATGTGTTTACACAGAAATGTTGAAGACTATACTCGAGGCTCAACCTGATCTAATCATGTCCACCGATGAAGAAGGGTTAACTCCTCTTTCGTACGCAGCATCCAAAGGATTTGATGACATGGTACTATACTTCCTCGAAAACTTCCCAAAAACAACGTACATTCGCAGCAAAGATAAATCCTACCCAATTCACAAGGCATGTCTAGGAGGACATGTTAGGGTTTTGGAGGAGTTCTATTCTAAATTTCCTACTTCCCTAAGCTCCGTTGACAATAATGCACGGACAATATTGCACGTAGCTGCTAAAGAACGCGGTAACAAGTTGAAAAATGTTGTCGCGTACTTGTTGACACTACGAGAGGGTAGAGAGTTAATCAATAAGAAAGACGAAAATCGTTGTACACCCTTGGATTTGGCTAGAAGCAACAGAAATGGTGAAGTCGAAGAACTTATTGGAAGAATTATGCGTCACTAGGATGGAACCTAACAAAGAACTACATTGCGTTACATACCCTTGTGTGACAGTGTGAATGTGTCCATGCAACATGTAACTTTTTTTTAATATTTCTGCTTTATTTATACTTACATTTCCTTTTACTTAGTCGTCCGTCGTTTGTTTTTATTTTATTTTGATAGCATGTTCAAGTCTTTAGTAAATGTTGTGTTAAAAAAAAAAAAAAAAAAAAAAAAAAAAAAAAAAAAAAAAAAAGAAGAAGTCTTTAGTAAATGTCAAAAATGAATTATTGTTCTGTATCTTCAAAGTTTAATTTTCTTGTGCAATGTAATACGAAGTATTATGTATAATATCAGTATAAATTTCAGTATTTAGTTTGAGCCATAAAACATTATTTGACCTGTAAATTCACTACAGCAACATACACCTAAACGAAACACAACCGTCACAATCGCCAACATTTTTCTAGTAATTTTTTGTGTGCATTTACGTACTAGAAGTCAACAGTCTTTAAATAATAAAAAAGAACAACTATTTACGCCAAAAAAAAATTATCAAATATAAAAAGAACAACTATTTTCACCAAAAAAATTATCAAATATATGGCGGATAGTATACGTAGGGTGTGAATGCATCGAAATGTTTGGAGTTGAATTTTTGGCCTTGTAATTATGCATGATATCGGTAGGTAGGAATTAATTAGACCAAGATGTTATAACTTGTGATTAAGTTGTGGATGACATCAAAGCTAACGAGCACTTTTTGGGGCATTAGATAAAATAACTAATAGTCAAAATATTAATAAATTAAAATTAACATTAAGGCTCTGTTCATTTCAGCTTAATTTCAGTTCAATTTAATTCTAATCAGTTCAGTTCAGTTCAGCTCCTTATTTCCTTCTCTCATAAAATTTTATTTCATCTCAGTTCAGTCCAGTTCAACTCCAATCAGTTCAATTCATTTCAGCTCCAATCAGTTCAGTTCAGTAAATGTGAAGAAACTCTAATTATATCGATCGATGCGTCATTTTGTCATGCATACATTCCTAACTTAATATAGAGTACTATTTTATAATATATAAATTACTTATCAAACGCCTTGAAGCGCACGTTAACAATATCTTTAAATTATTACGAAAATAAAGTTTATTTTATTGATAAAGGTATGAAACTATTAAATTTTGAGATATAGAACCTTCTACTCTTCTAGCTTAGGAATTAATTTAAAGGCTAATTGAGGGCTTTAATTTCATGTCATTCAACGACAATCAAACTTACTTTGAATAAAACAACAGACGCAACTACGTGTTACGTCTCTGTGAGTACTATTTAAGTAGCTTCTTGCTAATTTAATATGCTAAGTTTGATGAATCATCTAATTTATTATAAGTTATAAATATAATTTTAATATAAAGTCAGTGTTTATAAATTATAAATAATATGATAATCTGTTACGTACTCTAATAACAGTAAACGGGTTAATGTTTTGGTGAGGGTTTCACCCGCGAAACACCGTAAAGAATTTCCATTATTTTTATCTAATTTGTATATTTAAAAATAATTATAAATTTATAATAGCTAGCCTAATAATTGTTGTACAGCTTGACATGGCTTAATGAATCATGCACCAAAGAGCACAACACCGCATAGCATCGTCACGTTTTTAATTAACGCTTCCCTGCATTTCTCACTCATATTCTTGGTGGACAAAATTTAATTTATCATTTCATAATTAATAATCAATGAGAATGCAAGATATACCAGCTGGATTTCACCCTATTCTTGTAATTGTATTAAGTAGCAAGTTATAAATTAATTAAATTTGGGCTAACCTGATTAAATTAAGATATATTTTCATTTGTTTCACAAAAGACGTGCTATGTAAAGAACGGCATATTCCTTCAAAAAAAAAGATGTATTATGTATTAAAGTTAGTATTTGTTTGATTCATCTCATTTTAACTTATATTACACAAATGGATTCAAGTGAGTTCATATAATTTAAAATAGGTTCTTAAAAATTTAGAAAGAATTATTCTAAAACAATAAGTATTTATTTTTTATAGGGGCTTCCATCGATTTTTATCGGTGGAAAGCCCCAATTGTTTATTTTTGTGTGTTTTCTCTATTGTTTTAGGTTTATAATAATTCTTCCTCTTCTAGGAGGAATATTTCTCCCTCTAAAGACAGGGTTTTTATCTTCTTCTTTACACTACATAAAAAAAAAGAAATTGGCACCGGTTCAAACCCGGCCTAAGGCACCGGTATGAACCGGTGCCGAACCTGTGCCAATGTGGGGGGTGCCAAAAAGTGGTTTAAAAAGGCACTGGTTCAAACCGGTGCCAAAACTCGGAATTGGCACCGGTTAACCGTTGCCAAAAAATACCAAAGGTGCCAAAAGTGCCAAAAATAAATATTTTTTTTTTCTTAAAAATTAAATAAACTAAAAAAATTAAATAAGAATACAAAATATAAATCGAACATCACAATCAATATAATCAAATCTGTTCAATATATATATAATCAAAAAAATTTACAATATAAATCAATAAAAAAATTACAACATATAAATCAAAATAAAAAAAAAGTACAACATATAAATAAATAAAAATTACAATATAAATAAAAATAAAAATTTACAACTTCACAATAAAAAAAACCCATACAACATCTAAATCATTATACTTGCATCTTGATTCTTCGATTTAAGATCTAAATCCATGTACCTGAACCAATTAAAAAAACCAAAATAAATCGATTAAAATGATTTAATTAAGCTGCAAATTTTTTTTTTTTAAATCCAAAAAATCGAAAAAAGAAAAAAGAAAATCAGTTGAAAAGAAAAAAAACACCGCATTAACCCAAAATTTTCAATTATTTTAACAGAAAATTAACCCAGAAATAGAAATTTAAATCGAAAAACAAAATCAAAATCGAAAAAAAACACAATCAAAATTGAAATTAAAAAAAACCCCAGAAATAGGAAAAAAAACAAAATCGAAAAAAGAAACCCATAAATCGAAATTAAAAAAAATCAAAAACCAAAAAAAAATTATTAAATTCGAATTATAAAATTCCAGAAATCGGAATAAACAATCAAAATCAAAATAATTGAAATTAAAAAAAATTGAAATCAAAAAACCAAGAACACTACAAGAAAACAGCCTATCTCTGACGGACTAGTTCCGACGGGCACGTAATTCCGTCGAAAAATTCGAAATTTCCGACGAATTTTTAATCCGTCGTATGTTTCCGACGAAACTATAGAATTCGTCGCAAATCCGTCATAAATTTACGACGGAATTTAATTCCATCGAAAAATTAGTACTTTCCGACGGAATATATAACTTTTAAAAAATTAAAATTTCAAACCCTAACCCTAAAGTTCTTCCGCCCCTTTTCTTTTTTTCCCTCTCTTCTCTTTCCTCTCTTTCTCTCTCCTATCCGCCCTTCTCTTCTCCTTCCTTCTCTCCTCTCTTCTCTTTCTCTCTCCTCTCCTTCTTTCCTTTGATCTGCCTCTTTCTCTCTCCTTCTTCTTCTTTCCTCTTCTTTTTTCTTCTCCTTCTTGCCTCTTCTCTGTCCGCAGTTCCGCACTCTTCTTTCCCCTTCTCTCCTAACACCACCGCCATCACCAACTACCAACAACAACAGACACCATTACAACTGTGCAACAACAACGGCGACCACAATAACATCGGCAACACGCAACAAAACCAATTGCACAACCACCGTCGCGAGAATCGTCAACCGCTCAAGTATTGTATATATTGTTTTAGTTTAGTTTAGATTGTAGATCTAGTTGTATTTTTTAATAAATTTCTGATTATGGTTAATTTTTCAAGTAATTGTAATATTAGTGTATGAATTTTTAGGATAATTGTATATTTATTTGAATCCTTTTGATTTTTGTGGTTCGATCTACTTGTTTCGACATTATATTGTTTTGGGTTAATTGTTGTTGTTTTGGTGGTTAACTTTAGATCTATATGTTGTGGTTGTTGTTTTTTTTATTGGGTTAATTTTATTTTAGATTTTTGTGTTTTGTGGTGAACGGTGGTAGTGGTGTGAAGTTTGAGCTGGTAGAGAGGTTAAGGGGGAGGTGAGGCCGTGAGGTGGTGGCGGTGGTTGTGGGGAATATTTGAGGAGTTTTTTTAGTTTTATTTGTTGCGGTGGAGGTGGTGGTATTGCGGTGCGGGCTGGTGGTGGTATGGGGTGGTGCATCTTTTTTTTATTTTTTTAAAGGGTTTTCCGACGGAATATTCGTCGGAAATTTCCGACAGAACGCAAAACCTCTGACGACGGAAATTTTCGTCGGAACAGTGTTTCCGACGGAATTTTCGTCGGAAATGGTCGATTTTCCTACAAACATTTTTACGACGCCACTTTTCGACGGAATTCCGTCGGAAACACCATTACCGACGGAAATCAGGATGTTTTCGAGGGATTTTTTCCGTCGGAAACAGCCTTAATTCTTGTAGTGGAAATCGATTGAAATGGTTAAAAAAAAAAACCAAGAAATCGATTAAAAAAAATCAAAACCGGTGTTGCATGTTGTTGTCTTCGAATTGTTGGTGGTCTTCGAGTGATAGAAAGGAGGAGGAGATCCAGAAAGATTAAGAAATGAAGGAGATCGGTGAGCAAGAAGGAAAGAGGAGGAGAGGAGAGAGAAAGAGGATGAGGAGAGAGAGAGGAAAAGGAGAGGAGAGGAGAGAGAAACGGCTAAGAAAATTAGGGTTGGGGGTAGTTATATGGGCGGTTTTTTTTAATAATTAAACGAACCGGTTCGTAAAAGCACCGGTTCAAACCGGTGCCCTTTTTATTTTTGGCACCGGTTTGAGCTGAACCGGTGCCATTTCTCTTTGTTTAAAAACCCGCCAATTTTTAGGCCGGTTTTTGCCACCGGTTTGGCCTAAACCAGTGCCGTTAGGGGGGTTGCCTATTTGTATTTTTCTACTAGTGTTAGGAAGATTTGGCTCCTTCAAAAGACCGGGTTTTTCTTCTCTCTTTTGAGGGAGGATTTGCTTGTTATTTTATGGATTGCTATAGAGTTGTTTCATGGGTAAAATTTTGTGCGAGATCGAAAAAGAGGTTAATATTTCGATTACAATCTAGTGAATCAGACGGAAATTTTCTGCACGGCTACAACAGAACAATAGACCCCCTCGCCAATGAAGGCTGTAAATCACAGCGGTATGAAAGAGATTATGAAGAATGTACGATTTGCAACAACGTTCGTAGCTTTGCTTACGGAACGTTTTTATTTGATTCAATTATTATGTATTTATTAGATCTAAATCTCTTTGTAGATGTCGTATGACTTTATTTATGAATCAATTTTGTTTTAAAAAAAAAGTATTTATTTCTTATTTGCATTACATAATATAATTTCAAACAAAATATTTCAACAAAATAATTTCTAACGAAAGGGCCTGTTCACATTTAC